GTAGGTTTGTTATTTAGCACAGAGATTATATAATGAGCTTTAAAATATTTTGGAGATCATTTAGACAGCCATCTTGGTTTCAGTTGGTTTCAGCTAGTCTTGACAAGTTCTTAACTGTTTACTGTTCTCAGAGATAGACAGACTTAGAGCTGGGGAGAGGTTCAGTCAGGCCTCTTAGACCTTCAGGCAGGCCCTGCAGGCCTGTCACTGGGTGACAGTACCTTATATAGATGACAATTCTCTAGATTCATAATAGTTTACAAACCAATTATCTGTAAGGCATTTACATTATTCTTTGATTTGGAAGCATTTCAATATTTTGTAATACTTCAGATCATGCTTCTGAATGTCACATCATTTCACCTAAGAAAAAGAAGGGAGCTGTGGAGATTTTGTCAAACCTTCCAATTCAGAACTCTCTTATACCCTTCTACTCCTGGTGATGAGTTACTTTGTAAAGCAGCCTATCTATTCTATTGGGTGAATACTAAAATAGTTAGGAAGATTTTCTTCATAACTTTTTATTTGATATATTCCTTTATGCCTACTGCTCTCCTCCACAGTTCTCCCTATTATCAACATTGTATATTAGTATGCTTCATTTGTTGCAATTAATGAACCAGTATTGATGCATTATTAATGAAAGTCCATAGTTTGTTCATGTTTCCTTAGTTTTTACCTAATGCCTTTTTTTCTGTTTTAGGATCACTTACTTCTAGGATACTAGACGTCCTTGGCTCCTTTGTCATATGTATAGGTTTATTTCTGGGCTCTCAGCTCTGTTGCATTGGTCTGTGTGTATGTTTTTTGTTTCAATACCATACTGTTTTGATTACTGTAGCTCTGTAGTATAGTTTGAAGTCAGGGAGCATGATACCTCCAACTTTGTTCTTCTTTTTCAAGATTGCTTTGGCTATGTAGGATTTTTTTGTGGGTCTATATAAATTCTAGACTTATTCTAGCTCTGTGAAGTATGCCCTTGGAATTTTGATAGGGGTTGCATTGAATCTGTA